AAAAAATTCTTATTGTTTGCAAAATGCCCAATTAATTCATGCATGACTCACGGTTACCGGCAGGGCGCCGATCAGTTACCGGGGCTTTGTTTACCATGCATTCATAATCGAAGGTGATAAATAGTCGGTATTGGTCCTATCAATACGGTAATTGTCCAGCCGGTACAGTAAAGCACCGGCCGGTACGGTAACGCAACGGTCGGTACGGTAACGCAACGGTCGGTACGGTAACGCAACGGTCGGTACGGTAAAGCAACGACCGGTACGGTAAACCGAGTCAAACTCACAGGAAACCGGCTGGGTGGTAATGATCAGTTCCCTAAAAACAAAGAAAAACTGTCAAGTGTAATTAGGAAGCGCCCCAGATTTTTATGTTCTGGATTACTGTATACAAATCCTCAAGCCTTGGCCATTTTGAATTTATAATAAAGTCATTAGCGACATCTTCAATTAGCGAATCAGTTCTCTTGCTAAATTCGCTAAAAAGACATGTTCATGAAACTCTGTGTTAGTGGGCTCCAAACGTGATTATCACACAATATAGTTCCTTCTATCAACTGAAATCGGCAAAAATAATTTTTTGCACTTTACACATACATTTGGTGAGTAAAGAAGAACATTCAGGTATTTTGGGTTGAATTTAGAAGCATGTGAAAATTAACCAAATAACGGCAGAAAAATTATTGGCGTCTGCAGTGGCTCGCTCGTGAAGCCCGGACTTTTGTCGATTCAAAAATACAATATTATCTGTGCTAAATGGCATAAGTAGTTTTTGAAATTTTACGATTTTACGTTCCGGTAAATCAGTTTTTTCGCTAACAAGAAACTGTACAAATAAATCGGCGAAATACCGATGCGAATTCGTGCCACTGCTTGATGTATCTATAATGGCTGTATACTGGTTCATGGGCCCATTTTTATATTACCACGGTTGCAAGTAGAACATTTTGGTTCTTGTATCACATGCCTACATGGTTTTTGGTGCTTTTAAGTTATTCCTGTGTCCTGTGTCTGTGTTGGTAGTTTCAAAACAAAGTTTGTATAATATAATAGGAGTCACCACCCCAGAGATGTATACTATCACTATCACTCGTGAGATCATACCTGCTGTCAAACTGATCCAAATGATCTTGTGGTAGAGTTAGTTATTTCTTGAATACACTAAATATCACATAGAGGACTAAATATATTCATAAAATAATTACCCATGTAAAACATTAGAGTTTGTATTAATATGCGGTTATTATGAGGATACCTCAAAGTATGCTTGAAGACAGTACAGCTGGAGTATCTATCGACGTGCAGTCAGTCGATGCGACTGTGTACTGTCTGATTGCATACTTTGTAGTATCCTCGTAGTAACCTTATTATTATGCATCTTTTCATGGGAATGCCAAAATCCAAAATGTTTAGAACAGAATCAGCGAACTTCTTTGTGTGGAGTCCGGTCAAACCCTTGTGCCAGCCATGCTTACGTGCGTAATCATTCCATATTTGGAATTTGCATTTCCTAACATGGTAGGATGAAAATACCCCGTAAAATACCGCAAAATTATGGCATGCTGTAACCTAATTCTGGCATTACAATGACAGATGTATAATAATTGCTATTATCTGCCTTTTATTTTGATTGCAATCAGACTGTTGATGGGATTGGTGTTTGCATTAATTGTTTGGTGGACTCCCTCTGTTGATCAAGGCAATGGTGAATTTCCAATGTATTACTACGCAGTACTCATACTAAATTATGGGTTACACCAGGTAAGACTCATTTACCTTCAAAGAGATTGAAGTTTTTGTTGGTTGTTTGGCACTGAATTATTAATTATTTTTTTTTAGGTAAGGCTTAATCAGAAAAAACTGCATCTGTTTTAATCTAATGACAAAATAACAGTTTATGCAACCAGATTGATTTCACATGTTTGATATTCAACAAATTCAATCAGACATCCGATTCCGCGGTTTACACAGTGTGATTTACCTCAACAAATTTGTTTTCTGTGCCAAAAATGTGGTAAATTTGTTCACATTTCCTGTAATTTTTACTGAATTCAAGCTTCATTTTGGACCAAACAGAAAAAATATGACACTGATTCTAGTTTGGATCAAAAAAGTTAAAATTTTTGTAAATATTTTCCGTGGAAAAAAGCTCAGATTGTTGAGATAAATTTCAACCACTCAATGCATTGCTATGCAATACTGTTTGACTGATACATGGATCTTAATCACAAGTTATAAAATTGAATTTTTGCCATTTTTGTTAAAAATTATGAAGAAAATCTTCCACAAATCTCACAAATTTGTCCTACATTTTTGACCAGCAGCGATGACTGATTATTCACGTAATTTCATTTTTTTTCCCCATAGATTTCGCTTTACTGTATGTTCGTTTCTATCATGGCATTCAACGCTCGGATAAGTGACCCTGTTATCGGTGGAACATACATGACGTTATTAAATACACTAAGCAACCTTGGTGGCAATTGGCCAAGTACGTTATCACTTTGGTTGGTTGATAGCTTATCATGGAAGTCTTGTAGTATTGATGGATTAGACTGTGATACAAGTATACAGGCTGAGGTGAGTTTGTCAAGCTTCATTACAATATTTGCATACTTTTCGCTGGCTTACTTATTTTTTTTCCACCCAAAATTCAGTGCAAATAATTTCACCTTTTGTAAAATTGGCACTAAATTTTATCATCATTTTAGACTATACAGACAGTTTCCGATATTGATTTTAGTTTTTGATTAAATGATTTGTCAATTTTTATCAATATTTTATGGGGGGACAGACTGTAGAAAATCAATTTGTTCAATAAAGATGTCTCACTTCAAATATGAAGAAGCCTCTATATTGGATTTGATTCAGTGAAAACATTCCCTTGGATTAAAAATTCAAGAAAAGATATTGATCTCCATTACAGCGAGTCTCAGGAATATTGGAGCAGCGAATTTGCAAACTCGCTAGCGAATTGGATAACTACTTTGGTTTTGACTAAACAGTTTTTGAATCTCGCTGGCACCGACTTGTGGTCGCTTCCACTCTTGGTAGAGTCTATATTGCATTTGGAGAGATAGAATGCTTTTATGTAGCCTGGTACATGTCTAGATTCTCTGTACGATTTGCTTTAAGAAGTTTCCCTGGTCAGTCTGAGAATGGCCACAGTCAGCTGGCATACATAATATGATAAATGCGATTAATCCACTGATATTTACTATATGGGGGTAGCCATCTTCAGCGCTGCTTGAAACTAAATAAAGAGACAAGTTGAGAAACAGTTTCCTAAAAATCAGGAAGAAAATAACAAACTTTCACATACAAATGATCCCTTCGGGTAACATTAAGCTAACCGCTAAAAAAATCGACCTCATTTGTCGTTTTTATTTGGACAATCACTTGTATACTAACACCTCATTACACGAAAAAGATAGAACACTTTCCCTGGTATATTTTAAAGCGAAATCGCATCAACTGTAAAATCGTCCCTTACCGGTACTGTTATATAGATTCTTCCAGAGTGGGCGTGACCACAAGACGGCGCCAGCGAGATTCAAAAACCACCTGTTTATTCAAAACCAAAGCAGTTAGTCAATTCTCTAGCAATTTTGTAAATTGACTGCCCCAATACTTCTGAGACTTGCTGTAAAAATGTTGTAGTGCATAAATTGAATCCAAGTTGTGATAATCTTTGTATTTCTGTTTGTATTAATGTATGTAATTATATTGTTTAACAGGCTTGTACTAAAGATGGAGGAGTCTGTCACACAGATATAGATGGGTACTATATCGAGACCATTGCATGCTTTGTTATTGGGTTACTGTGGTTACTATGGAAGCAGAAAACTGTTAAAAAATTGCAGACTTTGGACGACTCAGCATGGAAATGTTCATAAACATTGCAGTAAGGAAAATACCCATGAGGCTTTGCATGAACCAATCCATCTAAAATGCACCCAATGTAATCATTATCTGATTATTTAGTTTTTGTAACTTAGAATTTTTTTTTGTCTTGAATAGTCAATGTACATTGAAAAATGTATTTATATTTATAATAATAATGTTGTTGACAACGGAATAGCCAATGGTAAGACCACTTTTATAATAGTATACTTCCAATTCACTACCACAATTACCCACCATAGACTCCGGTCAGTCAAAATGACTATTTTGAACTGTAGGCATTGATCAGCGATTCTGCCGGTGACGGAGAGATAGAATCCAGGTCAGGGGAAGCCCCATGACCTCTAGATTCTTTTACCCCTTACGTCACGAACCCACGTGACCGAGGCCACCTGGCAGCGCCACAGGTAGCCGTCCTTCACTCTGGTTCCTTTCTCTCCGCCTCGAGGACTTAAACCAACGCGACGGAAAGAGTGGGGAGGTTGGGGGGGACACTGAGTCTATGGTGGG